ATATTTGACAATTACTGCATACAGCCCAAAAAGCAAAACCAACAACAACAACGCTAAAGAAAACTCTAACGCTACGCGTACACTGCAGCCGGAATCGGCCGAATTGTGCTCGGCAGATATCGGCTGTATGCGGGCGATATGAATAAACACTTGTGATTATATGAGCGCTATCACACATAAACCGATAACCGAACGGACATCGGCCGTTGACGTCCGTCAGTGACGATAAATTCAAACATGTTTGTGAAAAGTACCAAAATGGACTGCGAAAAATTAACTTATTAGGTGTAAAAAAAAAAAAATACATATAAATCACATGTTTAGAGTATTTCAATTAAAATGTATCAAAATATTTCACTGCTTACAAAATTGCAATTCGGACGGTCAAATTTGCCGGCCGAAATCGCTCGTCCTATCGGATGCAATGTGCGACTAGCGTTATACTGCTAACATACCATCACAAGCAGCAGATGCAGCCAAGCAAAGAGCATCGTCTTGCTCTCCAGCAGTGATCAATGTTGACAACAACGCAGCTGCCGATACTAATGTGTCGACGGCAACAAGCAAAGAAGAAGAAACACAAGCCAAAAATGCTACTGTTCAGACTGGGTTAGATCGCTACATATTAATAAAGCGAAAGCGCATACCCGAAAAAATGGAAAACAAAGCCCAAAAAATAAAATGTTGAAAGTAGTAGTAGTATTCTCGATGATATGAATAATGATTCCAACCAACAGGTAGTTAAAAAATACAAGCCTCCACCTATTTATCTACGAGAACAAAGTTCTAGTGCTCTGGTGGATACTCTCTTAAAACTAGTAGGGAAAAATAATTTTCATGTGGTTCCTATTAAAAACGGTAATATACACGAAGTGAAAATACATGCTCAAAACGAAGATATTTTTCTTAAAATTACCAATGAGTTTGATAAGTGTAAGAAATCTTATTACACCTATCAACTTACTAGAAGTTGTCATAAAAGGCATCGAGTCCAGTGTGAACTCACAAGAGATAGAAAATGCTCTTAGGGAAGAAGGTTTTAGGTGCGCAATGTCTTCAACATCAAAAATAAAGAAAACATCCCTCAACCGATATTCAAAATAGAGCTAGAACCTGACTTTCAATCTGAGGAAAGGGGAAGTGCATCAAATATATCAATTTCGACATCTTCTACACCGTAAAATCTCCGTAGAAGAACCCCATAAGCGTAGAGGCCCTGTTCAATGCCATAACTGCCAGGAATTTGGTTGTTGTTGTTGTTGTAGCGGCTACAACAACCCCGCCCAGGACGGTTGGTATCTCAGTCGTTGTCGTCAAGTTCCACTAACGGCAGCCCTAGGAAGCGTGTAGCTTCCGTAGGGTTGGTCCACAGGGACAAAGCCGTTAGGGGCGTCGGGTTTTCCGGGCATGCGAAGAGATGTTTCGAGTCATGTGGGGTCTCTCCGCATGCCGGACACTCATTTGGCACATCCTCATTCAATCTACTCAGGTAGGACTTTAACCTGCTGCAGTAGCCAGAGCGAAGTTGGGCTATTGTTGTTCGTGACTCCCGAGGCAGATGAAGCTCCGTCTCGTCTATGTCCGGGGGCGGTATGCCTAGAATGGCATTCACAGGTCTAGAGTCTACATAACTCGAGACTGACTCCCTGTGAATGCCGTTCAGGGCCAGTCGGTAAGCTGACGGGTCCAGAGGTTGCTTGATGAACCTCTGGACTTCGTCCGTCAGTTCATATAGATGCCTCCTGACGTGCCTAGGCGAGGGCTCCTCTGCAAGCAGCTGTCTGTTTGGGTGGCCACNTGCAGTAACTGCGGTGGAAATCACATTGCTAACTATAGAGGTTGTCCAGTTTTTATCTCAATGAAAGAGAAAACAATTCCTAAAAATACTCCTATTAGGCAAAACCCCATACCAGAACCCGCTAAGCCCATGTCTGCGCCAATGACTGTTAATAACTTTACTTCATACACACAAATGCTCAAAAATACTCCTCCGACGCAACCTCTTTTTGGTCAGAATAGTAGTAACCTAGAAGCTACTATAAACAACTTTATGAAAGTTATGCAGGAGCAAATGATGGCAATGCAGAGCATGGTACAAGATTTGATTAAAAATCAAAATCTATTACTTTAAGCCATTTTAGCTAAACCATGACTAATCTCAAAATTTGTTTTTGGAATGCGAACGGGATAACCCAGCATAAAAACGAACTAGAAATTTTCCTAGAGCGATATCATATTGACGTTTTGCTTGTATTACGCAATTTAATAACTTTCAAATTAATGGGTTGTACAAATTTTATGATACTAAGCATCCACAAGGTAAACGTGACGGTCAAACCTTTTAGGTTTTTTCCAAAGGACCAACAACAGCCGCTTCAGACATAGTTAATTCTCCTCCTTTTGCTAATAGCTTAAGGGTATATTTCCAAAATATGTCTGGCATGCGAACAAAAGCTGATATCGTGCATTCTTTTACTGTACTTGTTGAGACGTGGTTAACCTCAAACTTTTTTGATGCTGAATTCTTCGATGCTAACCTCTTCAACGTCTTTCGTAAAGACAGGGATGCTGTAAAAACTGGTTGCCAAAGAGGTGGCGGTGTAATCGTTGCTGTCAAGCGCGACCTACGCGCGCTCCTGATCTCTCTAGCTAATGATGATTCACTTCTGGATCAACTTTGCGTCAATATTAATGGCAACTCTTCAAAAGAATCCCTGTATGTAGTAACCTCATATATACCACCAGGAAGCTCATATGAGTTACACAAAGCACATGCTGATAACATTTCATCATTAGTTTTAAATAATTTGCGTGATAACCATTTATGTGTTCTGGGAGATTTTAATTTATCCAATATTAATTGGGTTAGCAGTGAGTCATGCCTTAGTCTCATAGCTCTTAATATAGCTGCCAATCAAGAACTATATTTAGTAGATAGTATTTTGAGTCTTAATGTTCATCGGGCAAAGATGGTTAAGAGCGCAGTTTTCGGATGTGCCGCAAATTGGTAATGGCCCAGTTTCAAGTTCGCACCGATGTATTTTAATTAGAAAAAAAGTACACAAGAAAGTTTGTATGAGCAAATAGAATTTAAATGGTTTTATTGCTTAATATATTAATATGTACAATTGTATTTCAGGTTACCTTATATATATATATGTAGCTGGATGAGGCGATGAAAATTGGTGGCTGCAAGACGTCTACTCAAATGGATATTCGGTAAGCAAGTAAAATCCGTTCTTTTTCTTTTTAATCACGTTAGCCTTTCGAACGGCTTTTTGAGCGAGGGAAATTTTAACATAACTAGCGTTCGACAATAGAAAGCAGTTAACTGTTGTCTTATGTTCAAATGTTAAATATTAGGGTGGCTCTTAAATGGCGTATTTAAGACGCTGGCCTAAACAGAAATTCGCTACCAACTACAACGATGGATAAGTGTGGTTCCGCAATTGAGGAGGTATACTTAAAATCGCTTAAGATAAATGAAGGTAACTATTTATAATTTAACCTAAGGGTCAGTTTCTTAGTGCACGTCTGCAGTTTCAAATCGGACTGACTGGCTTATACCCAGATTAGCCAAGCAAATGTCCGCCAGCTGTTCACTGCAGACGCACTTTATGTGATCTAAGTTTAAACTGGCACGACGAAACTGGCCCTAAGAAGATACAAATATTTAAAGTCTATACAATGAAAATATAGTTGAAAATGTTGGTAGCGGTAGAAATTCTTCTCCTGGTCGTCCTCAGCGGTTGTCTCCGTGTGATAGGGTGGTAGTAATATCAGTTTGACAAGCGGTCTTGTCACAGTGCCCTTTTCGGTCAGGATGTCAACAACTCGGACTCTACTGTCCAAACCTGGGTGTAAATTGACCACCCTACCTAGTCTCCATTCGTTAGGAGGGAGATTATCTTCTTTTATGACCACCATATCTCCTACTTTCATGTTTGCCTTCGGATGTTTCCACTTTGTGCGTTTTTGTAGCTCGTTCAGGTATTCAGTCTTCCATCTCCTGCAGAAGTTTTGGTGTAGGGCCTTGAGCTTCTGCCAACGATTAACGATCGAGGCAGGATTTTCGTTGACGTCTAACTCTGGTGGAGCTAGCAGGTGTCCGCCGACTAAAAAGTGGCCTGGAGTTAGAGGCTCCAGATCAGATGGCTCATTTGAGGCTGGGCTAAGTGGACGCGAGTTGAGACATGACTCAACTCTGCAAAGTAGTGTACTGAACTCCTCGAAAGTGTATTTCGAATTTGACGCTATCTTTTTAAAGTGGCTTTTGAAACTTTTCACACCTGCCTCCCATAAGCCCCCCATATGCGGAGCTGCGGCAGGTATGAAATGCCAGGTTAGTGATTGGTGAACATATTTTGAGAGCGTCTGTGTCCGCGCGTCGGAAAGAAATGCCTTAAATTCTGCTTTTAACGCTCTTAAAGCTCCTACAAAGTTGGTCCCATTGTCTGAGTAGACATTTTTTGGGCACCCACGTCTGGAAACGAATCTTGAAAATGCCGCTAGAAAGGATTGGGTACTCAAATCACTTGTGGCCTCTAGATGGATGGCCTTCGTAGAAAAACAGACCATAAGACAGACGTAACCCTTTGAAATTCGGCACCCCCGCCCACGATAACTTTTTATTTCAAAGGGTCCAGCGAAATCCACACCTGTATTTGTAAATGCACGCGAAAACGTAGTTCGCTCTTGTGGAAGGATCCCCATAAGTTGGCTTTGTGAGCGTTTTTTGTGAATAGTACATATTTTGCAATTATGGATGGTGGACCTTATTAGTGTTTTCACCTTTGGAATCCAGTATTGGGTTCGGATGAGACGCAACATGAGTTGGTTTTCACCATAGAGAGAGACTTCGTGTACAAATTGGACTATTAGGCGCGATAACCTGCAGCTGTATGGGAGTATGACTGGATGCCGTTCACTATATGCCAGATCAAGAGATGCACCAAGACTACCACCAGTTCTCAGCAAATCATCTTTATCAAGCAACGGATTTAGAGGAAGGATTTCACTTTTTGACTCAATGGATTCTCTTGCTTTAAGTTTAGCGATTTCTGCTCCGTAATGTTGCTTCTGAGCGAGTTTTATCAGACGTATAGTCGTTGTTTTAATTGCGTTTGACGAAATTAAAGAAGAGTTCGCCTGAAAAGAAGCTTTTGTCTTCGGACTGGTTCTTTGAAGGAATCTCAATACATACGAGAGCACCCTCAAAGCTTTCGGTAAACTTGAAAACCGCTCAAGAATGTCACTAAGTTCGTTTGACGTTATTGTTGAATGAACGTGCAACCGTTTTTCCTCAATATTAGTAGTGAAGTCTATCTCTTGTAATGGCCAATTTTCTCTATTTTCTTGCAGCCAAGAAGGTCCTTGCCACCACAACGAATTTTGTACCAATTCATGCGCCAATATGCCCCTGCTTGCTAAGTCTGCTGGATTTGTGGCAGAGTCGACGTGCAACCAGTTAGAATTCCCTACCTTGTCTATTATTTTAGTAACTCGATGGGCAACGAATGTTGACCACGAACATGGGGGCTTGCGTATCCATGCCAAAACAATCGTCGAATCTGTCCAAAGATGTATGTTTAGGTGGCCTAATTCCAGGCTATTTGTAATAGATTCGACTATTTCGGCTAGTAATACCGCCCCGCAAAGTTCCAATCTAGGCAATGAAATTGTTTTCACTGGGGCTACTCGAGTTTTCGCTAACAGGAGGTTGACAAGTATTTTCTCGTCTCTTTCGACACGTAGGTAGACTGCGGCCGCGTATGCCTTTTCGGAAGCATCGCAGAATCCGTGAATTTCGACTTTTTCCTTTGGTGAAAAAGATACCCACCGCGGTATCCTTATTTTGTCGATTTCTTTATAATTTTTTGTGAAATTGTGCCACCTATCTAAGGTTGGAACGGAGACCTTTTCGTCCCACTTTGTACCCTCCAACCATATATTCTGCATAAGTATTTTTGCAACTATTATTATTGGAGCTAGCCAACCCAACGGGTCGAATAGTTTGGCGATGGCTGACAATATTGCTCTTTTTGTTGGCGTGATGTTATCGTCTATGGTCTTGGTTATGAAATAAAATTGGTCGGAATGCGCATTCCACCTGATACCTAATGCTTTTACACTGCTAGTGTCCTCGAATTCTAAGAAATCTTCGCTTAAAAGATGTGGTTTTGGTATGCCCTGTAGTATTTTGTCACAATTCGAGGTCCATTTTCGCAAAGGGAATCCAGCTGATTTCAAAACTGTAGAAACCTCATCCCTAGCCTGTAACGTGGAGTCTATAGTATGTCCGCCCGCAAGAACATCATCGACATACATATTTTTCCGTAAAATATTCGAAGCTATCGGATGGGAATTTTCTGAATCATTAGCTAGCTGAAGTAATGTCCTTATCGCCAGATAAGGCGCACAGTTTATACCGAAAGTAACCGTTTTTAATTCATAAAGACCGATTGGTTCGTTTGGACCCGTACGGAAGACTAATCTCTGGTACTTCGTCTGGTTGGCATCCACGAGAATTTGCCTGTACATCTTCTCAATATCGCTATTGAAGACGTACCTAAAAAGTCTCCAGCGGAGAATCAAAATTGGTAAATCAGCTTGAAGAACTGGCCCTGGTAAAAGAACATCGTTCAAGCTGACCCCATTCGCTGAAGAAGACGAAGCATTAAAAACTACCCGAACCTTTGTTGATATACTTTCTTCTTTTATCACGGCATGATGAGGCAGATAGTAATTGTCGATTGCATCGGCCGACTGAAGTGCATTGATTTTCGACATATGCCCCATTGTCTCGTACTCTAGTATGACCCTGTTGTATTCCGCATGCAAATCTGGATTTTTCTTGAGGCGTGTCTCGTTTTTGTAGAATTGCGAGCACGCTATTCTCAGTGATGGCCCCAATTTGGTATCAGCCGGGAACTCCGCTTTGAATGGAAGCGAAACGATATACCTTCCGTCTGGGTTCCGTTTGCTTGTACGCTTGTAGAGCTCCTCACACTGTGTTTCTTCGGTTGTTGGTGCTCTGTTTCTCGGCAAATCCTCCAGTTCCCAGAATGAGCATAACTGTCTATCAAGGGCAACCTCATTGTAAAATGAAACTCGATTATTGCTGGTTGGGCTGGCTGCATCAGCACGACCAGTCAGTATCCAACCGAATACTGTTTCTTGCGCTAAGAGAGTACTGAGAACGTTCTTCTTAATTCCACCTAATATTATTTGAGGATATATGTCTCCTCCAAGAACCAGATCGACTTGTTCATTCACAAAAAACCTTTTATCTGCCAAAACCAGATCAGGAAAAACTTGTTGTGTGAGTGCGCTAACATCACAAGTAGGCAAATTCCATGTCAGATTTGGTAGAACTAACACAAGGGCATCAATAGAAATAAGTGGGTCAATTGGTGACCGCAATTGAATCGAACACGCTTCTTTCACCTGCGCTGAAACAGAATTATTGATGCCCGAAACCTGTGCTAACATCTTCTTGGTCGGCAAGTTGATTCTGCGTCTGAGCCTCTCCGTGATGAAGGAACACTCAGAGCCAGAGTCAATTAACGCTCTTGCCGCAAAGTTAGTACCATTAAAATGAATATTTACTCGAGCTGTCTCAAGTAAAACGCCTTTGCTTGAATTCGCGTGATGTGTTTGCACATGTCTGACTGCTTTACCTTTTCCCTTTGAAGATTGGTTTCGTAATTGTGCCTACCTGGATGTCGATGCACCATTGTTATCTGGATTGGCTGTATTCTCCTTTGTCGTTGTTTTAGCTGGAGCCGCCTGTATATGAAGTAGGGTGTGATGTCGAGAATGGCAATTGGCACAGTTGTAGGAACTTGTGCATTTCGACACCGTATGCCCAAAGGACAGGCAGTTAAAACAACTATTGTTGGTTTTAATAAAAGCGATCCTATCAGATATCGACATATTTAAGAATTTTTGGCACATATGCAGTCTGTGATCATTGCTTTGACACATTTTGCAAGTAAATTTGCTTACACTAGTTTGAAAAGTGCCAAGTTTCTTTTGTGGCGGTTCAGAGGAATGCTTATGACTTAACCCTTTTGAAATTTTTGAAACCTTGATTCCTCTCAACCCCGAGACCGATTCCAAAGTTTGGAATCTGCTTGACAAGAATTGGTCCATGTCAGCCCACTTGGAAATATCTGTTTTAGTTTGCACTGATTGCTCCCACAGCGAAAGAGTCTCTTCTGGTAATTTTGTGGAGCAAAGGTATGTAATTATTGGATCCCAGGTTGAAATGTCAATTTTATGACTCTCCAGGGAAGATATGCAATTGTTTATATCCCTGTGCAATCTTTTAATTGCACTCCCGCATTCAGTTTCCACCGCCTGTAGATTGAAGAGGATCTTCAACTGGGTGTTAACTAGGATCCTTTTATTCTCATACCTATCGCACAAATTCTTCCAGGCTATATTAAACCCATCATTTGTCAGGTCGCATTTCTTAACAATTTCTTTGGCTTCACCCTGCGTTTTCTGACTAAGATAGTAAAGCTTTTGAATGGGTGTCAGCCGCTTGTTCAATATATATATAGCCGTGAACATGTCACGAAATGTTGGCCATGACAAATAATCGCCTTTGAATGCGTCGATATCACAAGGCGGTAGGTGTAAATTATGCTGTGTGGCTGATATGTCCTCATCTTCCTTTTCGGATTTTGCAAATTTTTCCGACAAATCGTTTATTTTGGACATACATCGCACAAAAGCTGCATAGCACGTTTTTCCTTTCTTACGTATCGAACTTAGATCTTTAGCACCAATTGATTCCGTAGCCAGCAAGTCATCAAAAAGTGCTTTGGCTTTCTCCCACATCACCTTTAGCTCCTCTTGCTGAATTTTCAGCGAATGCTTGGTGTGTTCACTTGTGGGTGTGCCACGAAATTCGATATCGAATTCAATAACCGAGTCAGCTAAGCGAATGTATGTTTCCATTTTTAAAGTTTTAACCACAACCTAATAAAATCTCTCAAGATTCTTCCTCAGAATAAGCAACTCAAAGAAAACACCCACTATAGTGAATGACACAGTTGAAATTATTGCCCAAAAGCCACCCAATTTGTAAAAATCACAAAATTTGCCTCCTAAGCTCCACAACTTCGTAAATGAAAAAATCCCAAAATTTATGGTACTCAATATCTATGTATGTATGTACATATATGTATGCACAAACGTTTTATTTAATAATATATGTGCGTGTGTATGTACATATGTCTCTTGTGGTTGCTTTAAGTATTGGTCGCCACTCGATAATTAAATTGTGGTATGTGTATAGTTTTTTATAACACGTATGTTTTTAGGATACAAAATCGTTTTTTAATAAAATCAATATTAAATTAATGCTTAGTGAGTGATTTTGTGAAAAAGGCGAAAAGACGAAAATGGCACTTTTTGAGGTTAAGCCTCTGCTACCATGCGAATTTGATATGTGTATGTATGTATGTTAATACACTTGTGCCACTTATCCGGAACTCAGAAAAAACTGAAAATGTGTAAATTCCCGTGAATTAATTTAATACTCCAAATTGAAAAATGTGATTTTAATTCGATTGGGAATATTATTCTATCTTGCAGAAACTTAAAATGCAAAATGAATTTTCGCGCGCTTTTACTAATTGAGGTTACTGTGCCTGCTTGCGGACAGACAGAACTTTTAGTGGACTGTAACTTTTTGTGTCTTCACTATTTCTTTGTTTTTTTTTTCACAAGATCACTCACGGACACTATTCTTTTAGTATATATTTTTAAATTTAATTATTCACACCAAAAAAAACAAGTGCTGTGATATTTCAAAACAACCACGTACCTTTTTAATGTGCTTTATGTTGTTTTGTTGTAGCTGATTAAAATTCAATTTTGCTGTGTGGTGACCACGTATGAACTCCTTGGCTAGCTGCTATGCTGGATTGTGGAATTTTAGCCGAAATGCTATCCAATAGTGCTGGTGGATTGATTCTCGGCTGATCTTGATCTAGCTGATTAGCGTTTTGTTCTGGCTGATATCTCCGGGAATCTTATATATATATATATGTAGCTGGATGAGGCGATGAAAATTGGTGGCTGCAAGACGTCTACTCAAATGGATATTCGGTAAGCAAGCATGAATAACTCAGTGAGAGGGGAGACCAGTATGTTTGCATGTATGTATATAAAAAAAATATTTATTGGACCAAAAAGTAGTGGGTAGGCACTGTGGCCAATGGTAATCAACTATTACCACCTCCGCATGGTTGTAAGCCATGCAGAGTCCGCAGAATGCTCCGGAAGCAGTGTCCGGAGGATGCATCCGACTAGGCAGAGCATACTTTGAAATGCCATCTTATTGAAACTTAAGAAAGTTCAATTACTTGGCAGTTGAGAAGTGCATGTGCAAAAATTTCATTAATTTAATGAAGGAAATTTTTGCACATGCAGCAGTACATAGCATGCATTTAGGCGCCTGGTTGTTATTTTGTTAGATGTGGCAGCACCCTTCTAATGTCAGTGTGAAACCATGGTTGAATCAACAGTTCTGTATTCACAATGTGCGTATACATATATAAGTGCGTGATAATTGTTAAAACTTACTTAATTTAGTAAAAATACATTATAAATTTAAAAAATATGTTTACATTTCATTGTGCGGGCTTTTAATGCAATTATTTTGCCGAAGTGTGTACATAAATAAAGTGTTTATTGTGTGAAATAGCGTCGAGAGGTTAGTTCAATTTACTAACTTTAACAACAAATAACTTAAAAACTATAAGTCTGCGGCGGCTAAAAGTATATATATTTACAATCAGAAGAACTCCCTCTATCGTTCCATACCCTTCATAATGCCGAACTCCGGGGATGCCAAACTAAATTGCAGCCTAAAGTTTTTACACACAAATTGAATATGCGTATTTATGTGTTGGGATAGGTTATGTGAAAAAGTGCAATGCTGAAAGAAACACATGCATACCTACGTATGTACATAGTAGTGTGCCCAGATGACAACAAAGTATTGGCACCTATTTATGTGCATAGTAGTGTGCCCAGATGACGACAAAGTATTGGCACAAAGTGTTATAGTGAAAATGAAGTATTGGCAAAAGTGTGTTTTGGAGAACAAATGCCTTAAATTTGCATAATACCCATAAACCAAAAATACCAAATCACCTACTCAAAGAAGCCAGAAAAATATGTATCTGAGTGGTGTTACTTCTGTCACAGAATAAAAAAAAAATATATATATATATTATAATATAATAAGTTAAACTACGTGAAGATGAGCAAAAATTGTTCATAAAAATATGGTTTTGGGTACAGAAAGTGTTTTAGAATCGCCGAGCATCAACACAGCTCGTTTTTTTTTTTTNAAAGATGCACCCACTTTTCCCGGTAATTTAAGCCTCTTGGCAGGCCAAACAAACGCACGAACTTGTTCTAATCAAACAGCATCTTCATTTTAAATCAAGAAACTAAAATTTTAACAAACCAAGAGTTGAATTAAATCGCTACAGAAATGTATAAATTGAAAATTGAGGTAGAAAGCAATGTGAATAAAACGAGAAATCATATGAAAAAATGGCAAAAAAAAACATTAAGAAAATCGTTTTCG